TGTCCGAGGACGAATGCCAACGCCCATAACATTGTAGGACGAATGTCGGCGTCCACAACATTGTTTGGTCCTAATGGTACTTTTTTGCAGGTATGCAGGGTATGATCCTCGGTATTGCAATTGACTTGAGTCCCCCGCCTTATCTACGCGCGTAGTTATGAAGGAGCAGCGCACAAGCGTCGGACGAGACGGGAGGAGCAAGGCGCAAAGGGAGGCCAGCCAGGAGAGGTGATTATTCATTCAGCCTGTTCGTTTGTTGGTTTCAGACAGAATTTATCAACTATGATACAATATTTTTCTCTTGCAACAGCATCAGCCGGCCTTTCGTTCCTGCGTCAAGAGAAGTAGCTAGCGTACCGTTGATCCAGTTCATTGCTGGCTGGAAGTGGTATCCCGTCCTGAGCAGGGGGCTGATAATGGAGGCCGGCACCGACGGCGGTGCCGCCACGGCCTCGAGGCTCCGGTGGATGACATGGGAGGCACCAGCGAGCTGCAGCGCGAGCAGCAGCACCGCCCATGGCACGAGGAGCCGCCGAACAGTAACCATTGCGTGTTTCGAGGATGCAGGAGGAAGAGGGAGAAGACCAGGCACGTGTACGTGCGTGCACGAGTCTTGCGCTTGCTGTATCCGTCCTTAAATAAACACTCTGACGCCGCACTGTACAGCTCTGCCCGTCGATGCTGTACGCTGGATCGAACAGCTCTGGCTTCTCCAGGCTCGATGCCTCGAAGATCTGCCTGCCATACCAGATTTCGTTCATGAACACGGTGCACTGTACCTGGTGTTCCATACCATGTGCAGTGCAGACTTGCAGTGACTTTTTTAGACAGCGCGTGGTTGCAGTGGCCATACTTGGACAAAACAATTAATGGAAACTGATGTAAGAATGTTGTAAAAACGCGTTGCCATCCTTTCCATCTCTATCTCTTGTAATTAATGAAAGTAGGAGAACATATAGAGAAAGTAAGTGAACACGTAGACATAAGATAGAGAAACTATTTTTTATTCTCTAAATATTAGTGATTAACAATAGCTCCCACCTATATAGGTCTCGTTTCCTTCGCTGAGAAAACAAGTTGAAATATTATTCCGACTGATTTGTTGCGAGAGAAAAACACTTTTTTAGCTGAAAAGTACGAACTATAAGACAAGCGAGCAGGGCCTATGTAAGTCCTGCCAAAATTAAAGAGTTGGGTAAGTACCCACATAAGTCCATATGTTTTACAACCACACTACTCCTTGGGTGATTGCCATGATATGCACATGCCTCGTTAAAATCTCCAACCCAAAACCCAGGTTATTGAAGAAAAGATAACATCATATTTGTTTATTGCATTGCACAGGTTGGGTCATTAAAATCTCTTTGCTACAGTACTCCTAAAGAACTACGAGTCGCTTGTTTTATTATATCGAAGGGATAGAATCATATATTACTGCCTATAAGGTAATAGTTATATGAAATATATATTTATTTAATTTTTAATTTCATAAAATAGGTTTCATAAAATAGGATAAATAGGAAAAGTTTTAGATATATAAATATTTTTTATCTAATTGATGCATATGTGATCTATTATATATGGTTAACCTTTTTATTTTTGTAACTCTAGATATGAACGTAGTTTAATTAGCATAAACTATTTATTTTTTGGAAGAGCTAGCGCTGGTCGTCCAGCCGCTGGACTCGTCCGGACGCTGCTCCCGCACCTACGCTGCATCGTATCCCACGCCACGCGTCGCATCCCACGTGCATCACATCCCACGTCAGCGCCTGCGTCCGAACGTAGCACGCTCGACGACCCCCACCCCAACGCCAACGCCAACACAGAGGTGAGATGGAGAGAAGGGAAGGGAGGTGAGGGAGAGGAGAGGACGAGGACGAGGTGCGCCAAGCGAGGTAAGAGCCAAAGCCCTGCCTAGGCCGCTATCCGCCAGACACTGGAGCCATTGCAATGTGTGCAACACCCGATCTACTTTTGAAACATTTTGTAATATATGTCTGTAGACAGATGAAATACTTAAAACATGCATCTGAAACATTTGTAAAAACACCTGAAAACACATGAAAAGCCATTCAAATATGCAACATTCAGATAAAACATTTGCAACATGTGTGTGAAACATACGTAACATCCAAACAAACACACTTGCAACAAACTTCTAAAAAACAAATAAAATATTTGGAACATACACTTGCAACATACGTGTATAACCATTGCAACATGTGTAACATCCCGATCTACTTTTGCAACATCTAGATGAAACACATACAATATCCAGATAAAACATCTGAAACACTTGAAACATACGCTTGCAATATTCGCTTGCAACATTCGCTTTCAGCGCAATATGTGACCTTGCAGCTTAGAGGAATGGAGGCTCATCGTGTGACCGGCGGCAGCGCATGGAGCTCACTGGTGCGGCAGCGGCGCGGGACACTCGCCAGTGGAACGGCGACGCCGGCAGCACCTTCGACGCGGCGGGGAACATGACATGGCGCCTATTCTATGTTGTAAGGGCCCCTCTGAAGCAATAGTAGAATGTGAGCCTTTATAGGGAAGTCACTTAGTTAGGGCAGAACGCAGGGCCGGGGCCGGGGCCGGGTCACAGCGCGGCGTGACGTGACGCGGGATGGGGGCGCCACGTGGCAGCAAGGCTGCTTGGGGCGGGCGAAAGGCACGGCTCACCGCGACGAGCGAAGCGAGTCGGGAGTTGGGGATTTCTTGGTTGTCGTAGTGTAGAGATGAAAGAGAGGGCGTAGATGGAGCAGGCCTTTTGTTGGCTGTTGGGCCGGTCGCTGTGCTGGTCGAGGTACAGGGCGTTCGGACTGACGTGCTCGTACATACGTCCTCACCACAGTATTATCTTTTATTTTTTATGCATGTCGACAACTTTATGAGCAACGGCGCGCACATAAAACTTTAGGTACCTACGTGAAACTTTACGACAGCTACGTGTTCTATTAGAATACGCTCTCAAGTATGTTACACAATTTTAATCTATTAACATAATGTATACACTCAATTATATAATGTGTTAGAGTGCAACATGTTTTACAATGCCAAAGTTTACAGATCAATTAACATGTTAACTGTTGACATTTTTCGATTCATGTTGTGTAATTCCGTGTTAGCTAGCTTCTTAGGTTCTGAACTTTTTCATGCATGTACATGTTTGTGTAATGTTGTATGCATGATCAACCAATCGGCGTGCCGCGTGCACACTAACAAACCAGGCGGCGCGGCCCTTGATGCATTGTACGCCGCTCACAAATAAAGAAAGATAAGGCCCTCGCTCCTGTGTTATCCCGTAATTACGGGATTAGGATTTGTTCTTTTTTAGTCATGTATTACGTGATGTTTGGTTCTTACGGCAGTAACCTAATAAATGGAAATAAAAGTAGTCCAAACGGTATGTCGGGTGGCTCTGCTCTCGGTGCAGAGCTCGAGCTGTTCCGATGAGGACTGTAATGATATGTTATGTTTGAATCATCCTCCCCTTTGTAGGATCCGACCTCCCCCTATACATCAAGGTAGGTCGGGTATATGGCGGTTTGGGGAGAGTCTATAGTCTATGTGTGCCGAAGTCCAGGAGGGTCTTGCAACGGCGCGGATGGACCTTAGCGTTGTCATGGAGCCGGAGAAGCTCTGGGCGTCGTCCGACTGTTCTGTTCTGTAAGCTTGGACCGACCTCCACCCGGTGCACCTTCTAGAGGCTTCCTTGGTGGCGAAGGCGTCTAGCTCGAGGAGCTGACGAGCGGGCCCGGAAGCCCTCGAGCCCCTGAAGCCGGCGGAGGGGTTTTCTCCCCTTGTGTCACGCCCCGGACATGAACCTGTCGGAGGAGTGGTTGACAACGCTACGCCCGTTAGGCTGTGCTGAGGAACCCCCGAGCCTTGGACACTCGGGGCACCTGCTTCCAGCCTGGGCTCTCGACGGGCGTTGGAGGCCGGGGCCAAGGATCAGGCTCAGGCTCCTGTCGATCGGGAGCCTGAGGCTCGGGCGTGCCCCCAAGCCCCGAGCAGAGGTGGAGGTATAGCCCCCGGGCGATCCTAGAGGGATCGGTCGAGGGATCCTTTGGTCGGGAACTTCTCGTCTCAGGAGTTTAACATGCCCCTATGTTAGGATTTCGTGAGTTTGTAAACTATTTTTTTTTTAAATTTCATCCAAAACCATAACATCATCTAATTTATTTTCTCCTGAAACTTCTCACGTGACAAAACAAGACCAGTCCGACGACTCTAGTAAGGCCCACACTAATCATAAGGAGGTTTTCTATTCGGCAAAGTCCTCGGTGCCAACTGGTTACGTCCCATTTATTACGTGAAAAAACCTGAAAGGTCAGACTCTCTAGACACGGAAGGCATGTTGATGTCGTGCCAGCATGGCACGATAAGTCTTTACTTTAGTCTCGGTATGTCTTTGTATCGTGCCGACCTAAGCACATCTCTCAAAATATTTTTGCTAGTTTTTTTTTCACTTGTGATATAAAAAATATTTTTTGTATGTAATATTTTCATGAAAGCTTTAATAATTTTTTTAATCTATTCAAAATTAGATGGGATGTAGTACAGTAAATATATGGAAATCATATTGTAGCACTATAGATGTCCTTACGTGTCATTTTCGTGCTGATCCAAACATAGTCCAAAATATGAGTCTGACACATACAGCCCATGGGACCGAGATTCTGGGCATGGCACGCCCCTTGCCTTCGTGTCGTACCAGCACGGTTTAAATATTCCGTGACATACCGTGCTGTAGGCTATGCTAAAAGATCCTGCCACGATTGGTCCTCAAGTGGCACAACCGAAGTCATAGCTCTACTCAGTAGCATCTCCTTTATTTTGAACGCCTCTGTATTACAAGAAATCAAGGAAACAAGCCTAAACCTGGATTGTTATTGAAAGAAGTCACGCCCTTGTTCACTCTTCACAAATAGTACCGATTATTATTTGCTACGAGCCTAGTATACAAGACTGAAGAATGCACTCTGGTTGGATCACTTGATGAGGTCGGTGATGGCAATGCACAACACCGCGATCTGCTCGGCGTACTCTCCGCGCCGTGCGAGCAGCGACGGGATCCTGGCCTCGGCGAAGACGGCGTCGCACCGTCGCGCCAACGCGATGCCCTCCACAGCCATCTCTTTCCCCGCCGCGTACTGACGCGCGTCGATCTCGTCGTGCGCCCCCGCGAACGCGAGCTCCATGTCGAAGTAGAGGCTGCGGCACTGCCCCAGCGCAGCCCTTGCCTTCGCGTCGTCCGCGCCCGTGCCCGGCGGCCTGGCCAGCAGCGCATCCGCTTCGCGGACTGCGCCGCCGGCGTTGTTGACGCCGAGGTTGGCCGCCACCTTGGCCAGGCCCCAGGTGTCCGCGCCGGGGCTGTCGCGGTGCTTGCTCAGCTCCGACACGCAGAAGCCGTAGTCGATGCGGACGTCGATGGCGGCCGCCGCCTTGCACGTCGTCTCCACGGTAGCGTCGGCCGCGAGGAGCGTGGCGAGGGCCGCGGCGGCCACCAAGAGGGTCTTCCACGAACTCATCTTGCAGGTGGCGGTGGGACGACAGAGAGCTGCGGTGATAGTTCCTTGATTCACTGCAATCTGCTATGTGCAGCGCCGTGGGCGTCAGTTCTTATTGAGAATTGAGAGAGCGCGTGATACTCAGGAGTCAGGAATGCGAACGTATTGCGATGCGTTTTAGGCACTCATCAATTTGACATTATTGCATTAACTTTAGCATCCTGCTTTTTGTCGCTTCTTTGTCTTCTAAGCATGGAAGTGTAGGGACAAATCAAAAGGTATATAAAAGTTGGAGGGCCTACAATTGGCATATGTGAAAAAGTTAAATGGCATATGCGTATCTATAATTCCAAATTATAAAATTTTTTGGCTTTTCTAGATGCATAATTTTTGTTATGCAATTAGATATACACTATGTCTAGATACGTAGTAAAAATAATGTATTTAGAAAAGCTAAAATGTCTTGTAATTTAAAACGAAAAAATAATTTATATCTATATCTATACAAAGTATAACCATATGTCTTTTCTTCTCTCTTCCAATATCAAATGTAATACTACTCATCTCTATCCCGTAATAAATGCACTTTTAGCATTCAAAATTTATCCTAAAATCTAGTTATGGACTACCTAACTTTAGTAGTCTTTTTTAGCTCTCTGTTTGCAAGATGCAATTATTACATGTGATAATTTTAATAGGGATATATAGGTAATTTTTCTAGTATCATTATTCTGTCCAATAAAATTTAAAAATATATTTATGTTAGGACGGACGAAAAGTAAAGTTTTCTTCTTGGCTTCCAGAAGTATATGTTTATATATAGGGCGTGTTTGGCAGGGTTTTATGTGGCTCTGACTCCTCCTATGCCTTGCATTGTAGCAGGGTTATTCACAAGAGCCGTTTTTCTCGCTCCTATCAAAATGTACTGGGAGCCGAGATAAGCCACGATTTATGGCTCTACCGGCTTCGAGTCTTCAATTCTGTAGCACGGAACCGGAGCTCGGAGGAACTATCTAAACGGGGACACAGTGCTGGTGCGTCTGGCCCTCCCGTCTCCACGTCAAATTGGCCGCCGTTGTTCACCTCTCGCTAATTTCCACCTCCTCTCCTTATCAGATTAGTGTGTCGAGTCTTCTCCAGCAGACAAAGTGATCTACTTGAACAAGCTGAAAATAGCGTGGCAGTGAGGCGTCGTGCAATGAGATGTATGACCATGATAATGTTGTTCAGGATGGTCACTGGCCAGCTGGCCAGGAACAGACTCGCTAGCGTCCGAACGTCTGATCCGGGTGCTAGTGTCCGCACAGTGCCTACACAGGAAGTGAGTGAGCGCCTAGCACGTCTAGCTCACAAATTTGTGCACTAGTAGCGGGTCCACAACGCCCTGGATGTCGCCCATGCCGCCCTGAATGTTGGCAGCGACACCAGCCACTTTCCACGCGCATCACATGTGCAACACCCGATCTACTTTTGAAATATCCAGATGCAACAGTTGTAACATGCAAAAGAGGACAGATGAAACACTTGAAACAAACATCTGAAACACTTGCGAAAATGCCTGAAAAACATTTAAAATCCATTGCAAACATATGCAACGTCCGTATGATACACTTGCAAACATACGTATGAAACACTTGAAAACATTTGAAACATATGCTTGCAACATGCATGTATATACAACATCCACTTCTACTTTTGCAACATCCAGATAAAAACACTTGCAACATACGTTTGGAACAGATGAAAATTTGGAACATATACTTGAAACATACGTGTGTATATGTGGGGGGTACAACCCCAGATACCCACGGCGGACCACATGAGGCTGCGCTCCCAGGGGCAGGCCAGCCCACAAGATGAAGCCTTGCGGGGCACGGCGCTGCGCGGCGTCTCCCGCAAGACGCCGGAAAGATATCCTGAAGATACTACGAGATCTGTTAGGATACGTATGATCCCATGATTCCTATAATCTGTTATTACTTTTCAGTTATCTCCTAGATCTAACCGACTTGTAACCCTGCCCCCCAGACTATATAAGGCGGGCAGGGACCCCTCCAAACACACGCAATATCATACGATAGTCAATACAATCCAACAGACCACAGGAGTATGGTATTACGTCATACTGACGGCCTAAACATGTCTAACTCGTGTGTCTCTGTTGCCTTCTTGTTCTTGATTATACGCATCTCTGTCGATCAATCTACCTTCATGGGATACCCCTCGGAGGACTACCGACGATATTCTATCAACAGTTGACGCGCCAGATAGGGGTGTGCGTGTTGTTTCCATGCCGAACAAGATGGTACGTTTTGCAGGCTCTTCATCCCTCCCATAGCTCGGCCAGATCTTCACGGTCGGATCGATCTCGTGGATCATCAACGTTGACGGAGTCGGAGAGCTCATCGAGCCGGTGCAGATCAATGCTGTGCCGATCACCCCAACACCTGCGACTGCAGATCCGATCTCGGAACCGCCTCCGAGGTCGTCTTCGCCGACAATTCACCGGCCGCTCCCCCGCTACCAGAGGAGGCAAATCAACAATGACGATCTGAGCGCATCCATCGATCAGGTCGGCCAGAAGCTCGCCGATTGCCTCTCCATTGCGGAATCAGCTCTGACCACTCTGGTTCAGCACCGACCACCATTCGGTTCAGATCTATCGGAGGAAACTCCAAGGGTTATGGCCCTACCTTTTGGGCTCACCAACGTCGCCGCCACTTATCAAGATGCCCTAAGGGGCACATTCGCCGACCAGGTTGGAGATGCCATCCTCTCACCGACCAAATCGCCGACCAGCTCTCGTCGGCTGTCAACATGCTACACGTCGGCCGACGCCCCGGAGCATCCCTCCAAACCATCTTGGACGAGAATCCAAACTCCGAGTCCTAGGGCTCTACGGAGACTGTCGCCGAAACCACCGCTGAGCAATCTCCCTTCCGTGGAGGCGCAATTTTCAACGTCAGCGTCGACAGCCCCCCGCAGGAAGGGGAAACCGTGGCAGTGAGGCGTCGTGCAATGAGATGTATGACCATGATGATGTTGTTCAGGATGGTCACTGGCCAGTTGGCCAGGAACAGACTCGCTAGCGTCCGAACGTCTGATCCAGGTGCTAGTGTCCGCACGGTGCCTACACAGGAAGTGAGTGAGCGCCTAGCATGTCTAGCTCACAAATGAGTGCACTAGTAGCGGGTCCACAACGCCCTGGATGTCGCCCATGCCGCCCTGAATGTCGGCAGCGACACCAGCCACTTTCCACGCGCATCACATGTGCAACACCCGATCTACTTTTGAAACATCCAGATACAACAGTTGTAACATGCAAAAGAGGACAGATGAAACACTTGAAACAAACATCTGAAACACTCGCGAAAATGCCTGAAAAACATTTGAAATCCATTGCAAACATATGCAACGTCCGTATGATACACTTGCAAACATACGTATGAAACACTTGAAAACATTTGAAACATATGCTTGCAACATGCATGTATATGCAACATCCACATCTACTTTTGCAACATCCAGATAAAACACTTGCAACATACGTCTGGAACAGATGAAAATTTGGAACATATACTTGAAACATACGTGTGTATAGCCATTACAACATGTGCAGCATCTCGATCTACTTTTGCAACATCGAATACAACACTTGCAACATACCTCTGAAACATCTAAAATACTCGAAACATATTCTTACAGCATGCAGTTTTCACCCTTCTTCTTTCGTACGACGCAAGACTGAGTGGGGGAACGACCGAGAACCAGCAAGTCGGCGCCCAAGGATGGCGGCGCGGCACGGCAGCGGCCAGCTGCGCCTGTGCCTGCTGGTCTAGGCCCGATCAGCGACGGCCACCTCTCTTGACCGCCTGGTCACACGCGGCGCCGGTGACTGAGCGCCTGCGTGGCTGCTGCTGGCGGGCACGGGCAGGCAGAGCCGCGAACGAGGAAGAAGTAGTGGTGGAAGGCGGTCAGCGGCAAGGAGAAAGGCGAGCACAGCGCCGCCAGCCACAAACTTCCTGTCCTTGTGCCGCGTTGGGAAGACGAGCAGTGGTGTGAGAAAGAAATTTGTCAGATAGAAACTGTTGGACCGTTTATATTGGTTGGATCCAATTAAAATAGTATGCGATAGGAAAAACCGTTCGGACGCAAGCGTAGAAGCATTTCCGGGCCAGGAAGGACCCGTACCGTGATCTGGCCGTGCCGTTGCAGTACGCAACTATGAACCTGAACTGGTATGGAACATGATGCAGGACAATCGTAGCCTCGGACCCTCAGTGCCTCAATCGCTAGAAATAGAAAGTGCAGTGGTCTCTCACGCTGTCCAGTCCTGCCACGCCATGGTCACGCGGTGCACCTGCCTAGTTCTGGGATGAAAATGCGTTTCTAGACAATTTTGTTAATGGCAAAGGTGAATATTTTTCTATAAAACATTATCGATCCATCAATGGTTGTCATTAGAATACACCAATTGATTGAGAATTTATAGTATTTATTATCATATGTCTAGTGGTCTAATAATAATGAATGCATGGTGGCTTAAAAGAGCCTCTAAACCTTCAACTAGCAATAGTATGTTAACAACTTAAAACTAAGAATAAAGGAACAACTTAAATCCGAGGTGCTTGGGTTGGCCCGACACTTGGGTTGGTGCACCACCTCGCCCGACTCCTCGGCTACACCCGACGCTTGGGTCGGCCCGACACTTGGGTTGGTGCTCCGTCTCACCTAACCCTTCAGCCGCACCTGACGCTTGGGTTGGCGCTCCACCTCGCCTGACCCCTCGGCCATGCCCGACGCTTGGGTTGGCGCTCCGCCTCGACACTTGGGTTGGCGCTCTGCCTCGCTCGACCCCTCTGCCGCACCCGACGCTTGGGTTGGTGCCCCGGCACCTCGGGTAGGCGCTTCACATCGCCCGACCCCTCAGCCGCGCCCGGCGCTTGGGTTGGCCCGACACTTGGGTTGGCGCTCCACCTCGCCCGACCCCTCGGCCGCGCCCGATGCTTGGTTTGGCGCTCCACCTCACCTGACCCCTTGGCCGCGCCCAACGCTTGGGTTGGTGCTCTGCCTCGACACTTGGGTTGGCGCTCTGCCTCGCCGGACTCCTCGGCCTCGCCCGACTCCTCGGCCGCGCCCGACACTTGGGTTGGCGCCCCGGCACCTCGGGTAGGCGCATCACCTTGCCCGACCCCTCGGCCACGCCCGACGCTTGGGTTGGCGCTCTACCTCGCCCGACCCCTCGGCCGCGCCCGACGCTTGGGTTGGCCCGACACTTGGGTTGGCGCTCCACCTCGCTCGACCCCTTGGCCGCGCCCGATGCTTGGGTTGGCGCTCCGCCTCACCCGACCCCTTGGCCATGCCCGATGCTTGGGTTGGCGCTCCGCCTCGACACTTGGGTTGGCGCTCTGCCTCACCCGACCCCTCGGTCGTGCTTGAAGCTTGGGTTGGCGCTCTTCCACGCCCGACGCTTGGGTTGGTGCCTCAACACCTCGGGTAGGCGCTCCGCCTCACCTGACCCCTCGACCGTGCCCAACGCTTGGGTTGGCGCTCCACCTCGCCCGACCCCTCGGCCGCGCCCGACGCTTGGGTTGGTACTCCGTCTCGTTCGACGGCGACCCACGATCTTACACCCACCGGGCACACTCGTAAAACGAGTATAAACAGCCCCTTCACGACTTCACAGAAGTCCCGAAAGGGCTCACGGGCTCCTGTCGGGTTCATAAACCTGGCGTCCCCATTGGACCCGCTTCCCTGCAAAAAACTCAGCCCAGCAGACGGCGTTGCGACAATGAGCGCCTCTCGGGCTGGCCCATATACATAATGACAGGCCGTGACAATGATCTGGTCCCTGACCAGAAGCCCTGGCCAAGGTTGGGGCGAGGTCCGACTCCAACCTCCTTTTTCGACTCCGACCTCCTTTTCCGACCAGAGATATGCTGGACCTCTGCCCACGGTTCTTCCCCGACCAACGCGGTCGGGGCCAACTGGGGACGACCGACCGGGGACGCCCGCTCGGTGAGGGCCCGGGGATCAGGCGAAGCATATAAGGTAAGGCGCTCAAGTCAACTGTAATACCGAGGACCGTACCCTGCCATGCCCTGCGCACCTTTCAGGACGGTGCCACCAAGCCATGCCAGACGGGCACTATGCAACCTTCCAGGCGTGTCAGAGTACAAACAGTATTGTAGGCGCCGACGTTTGTCGTACCAGGCGAACATGGTAGAGCCTGCCACATGCGTCTGACATAAATAGTATTGTGGGCGCCGATGACCGTCTCGTACCCGACATCGTGGGCAATAAGACTAGGTAGCACACGTATCCATTCTCTCTTTCTCTGACTTGTATGGCCATCCCCTTTAACTATAAAAGGGGATGCGTTCTCTCCTCTCTGGGGGACGTTCTCTCGGCTCTCGAAAGAAAAGGGGCTGGACGTTTTCTCTAGCTCTAGGCAACCTAAGCACTCGAACAGCTCAACGGTGCTAGAACCCCACAGCTACACAGAGCATACGCTCTAATACTTAGCGCACGTTAGAGCATCCGTCACTCTCGTCCATTCGGTTCAGAGTCCAACCGGGCCTCTAACACCCCCCTTTTTATTCCTACTCGTTTGTAACCCTGCAACAAACTTCGAGCACCTGGGCTCAGGAATAAAGTCTCCGACTGACTGAAACTGGACATAGGGCACGTTGTCTGAACCAGTATAAATCCTGTATCATTGAGTGCTAGGCCACATCCGATCACAACGTACGGCAAAACTATAAATATTTACTTGTTGATCACTTTTCGCACCGACAAAAGCATATAGGTTTCGACCGCATGGTCATTTCCGGTACTATTCTATTTGGTTTCATGAATTCCTTAACTCTCGTGGCATAATATTAAAAAAAGAAATAGATCAATGCGTATACATATACCGGTATAAAGTTTGGCGCAATTTTCATGTACTATGTTTACTTGTCGATGCAAAATTTCAAATTTAAGATATGGTCACGTATATTATGGTAAACAATATTTATTTGCCAATATGATTATTTTCTAAGATGTTGATATTTATAGTAATATATTAGATGGCTACGAAGTTCATGTGACACAATACAATAATTAAATGTTGCAACTAGTCTATGAAACAATGAAATAAAATTGTGCGTTGAGAGAGCCTATTCACTGTCAGTTCCAAGACCTGTGTTTTATTTGTAAATGGAGATATAAAACATTTAAGAGCACCTCTACTAAATTGAGAAAACTCAATCTACTATATCAACTTAAAGGGGACTGAGAAAACATAGTTTTACACTATAGGGGAGGACCTCTGCAGCAGAATTAGAAAACTTATCTCCTTCACTTTCATAGGACCCACGTGTCAACGGTAGAAAGTCTCCTCCCTTCTGTCTTTCCTCTCCTTCATCTCTCTCAGTACAGGCCATCTAAGACGACTGCATGCTCGGCTTCCGCGGCGGCGTGGCAACGAGCACCGCGGCCGGCCTACGAGTTTGAACACTCATCGGGGCGGCGCGCTCGCCCGCCCGACGCAACTGGCCTACGAGTTTGACCACCCGACATGGCCGCTTGGCGGTGCGACCGTCCCGCGAGCTCGCCTTCCTGGCGTGGCAGGGGGCACGGCCGCACAAGGCATGGCTGCGGCACGACGGGGACAACAACAACATAGTGCCAGCTGCGCGGCACCTATGCCGCAGGCTTTTTAGTGTGGGCTCGAGATGTCGATCGGTGGAGGAGACGAAACAAAAGGGATCGAGAAAAATTGCTGTTACCCTTTGTTTGAGGAAAAGAGTGATGATTTTAAAAGATTGAGAAAAAATTAGGAAAAAATAATACTAGAGCTGTGTTTTTACGTCTCAATCTCCTTTTTGCAAAAAAAATATATAAGGAGAGGTGATCTCTTTTTTCAGTCTTGTAACAATAATTGGGGAGAGTGGAGAATTAATAACAAAACTCCTTTTTTATTATTTGTACAAAGTTTTCCAAAGGTATACAAACTTTAAAGTCCTGTCACCTGTCAACTCGATCGAGCACGTTATTCACTTGATGAGGTTAGTGATGGCGGTGCAGATATTAGCAATCCGCACGTTGTACGAGCTGTGCTGCGCCAGCGGCGACGGGACGGCGGCGGCCTTGGCGAGGGCGTCGTCGCACTGGCGCGCGAGGGACACCGCCTCCGCAACCTTGCCCTTCCCGGCGGCGTAGCGGCGGTTGTTGATCTCGTCATCCGCCTCGGCGAAAGCGAACCCGACGGAGTCGTACAGCCTCCCGCACTTCTCCAGCGCCGCGCGCGTCGGGCCGTCCGCGCCAGCGCCAGCGCCACCAGGCCTCTTGGCGGGCAGCACGGCCTTGATGTCGTACACGGCGTTGTCGGCGTTGTTGACGCCCGTCAGCGCGGCCACCTTGGCGAGGCCCCAGACGTCGGCGTCGGGGCTCTCGCGGTGCATGCCCAGCTCGGCCACGCAGAAGCCGTAGTCCACGCGCGCGTCGCTGTCCGCCGCCGCCCTGCACGTCGTCACCACAGTCGCGCTGGCACCGACGACGAGGCAGCCGATGAGCGCGAGCGCGCCGACGACGGGGAGGAGGTACTGGACGAGCTGCGGCAGCGGCCTCATCGTCATCGCCTTCGTCGTCGATGGAGGGGATTCTTCTTGGTGCTTTCTTTGTGTCGTGAAAAGAATGATGATCAGCTCCGGCTCGGGGTGGTTTTGCTTTAGCTGGGACTCGGATGGGACAACCGGACAAGATTGAGGTGTGTGTTGCCTGTGGCGCGAGTGCGCCACTGATGGAGTGCCTCTCCAGCGATAACGCCTAAAATATAAGACTTTTTCATTTTTTAAGTAGCGCTGTGGTTCAATATTTATTCGGTATCTTCTCTAATAATAAGACATAAAAGAGAATTTTTTTCTGCAAATAGATTTTTAAGAGAGATGATGTATATATTTTGGTTGTGCCTCTCAGATAACCTAAAATAAATATTCTGTATAGATACTCTGTTGAAGGCTGATTTTAGATTTCTTAATATTTATTTTTGGTTTGAATGTCCGTATGAGTTCGAGTTCGACTTTGGAGACAGTCTTGTATAGCCGCGGATCGCAAAAGCGATGCTCGTGGCCTCGTGGGCCCTATCGTATCATTTTAGCCTGTTGCTAACCTGTCCCTTATATTTGCTAGAATGCTGTTTGGATCTTTTCTTTCGATTAAGCCCATCAAGCCTACATACAGCCTATAAAAAATCAATCACGATTCAAGAAGGCCAGAGTACTATGGCTGCGAGGACCATGCTCGTTTTTTGATATATATAAGGTAGGACCCATGCTCGTTGCACGTCCATCTTAGCGGCTCGGATAATAGGTAGGGATGGAATAAACTAAGAGTGTTTTTTAAGCACAATTGTAAGGTGCGGCTAATGAACTTCTCCTTCAAAGACTATAAGCTCCCCTTGGAGATAATCTTGTTTGTGATAAGAAGTACCCGTGGTTACCACCACGCCCTGAATGGATAAAACTAAATGTGGACGCCAGCTATGATCACATCAAAAGACAAGCAGGGACATGTTTTGTCGCTAGAAATCACCAAGGTGATGTCTTCTCATGTTGGTCCTGTGACAAGTTCTATGGCTCGGCCGAAGAGGCAGAATGCTTAGCGGCGTTGTCCGGAACACGCAAAGCCCTTCTACCCTCCATGGGGCCTATTTGTCTGGAATCAGATTGTCTAAATGTTGTCCAAGCTCTCTAGTAACTTAAACCGGTCTATGAATTGCTACATCATAGAAGAAACAAAGAGAAGTGCAAAATGCCACCGAAGTGCTAATGGAGTGGCCCATGAATTGAGACAATTTAGTAGGAAAGAGTTTTCTTCTGGTTTTCTGTCTCTAGGTGTTCCGGCCTACGCGTCGTCAGCTTTGGAACATGATTGTAAACATGATCCGTTATCTTAATATAAACTCTTTCTTTTTAAAAAAAAGTAACGCAGATTTCATATTCATGCGGCACACTCGCCTATATGTACGCATATAATTCTTAATCCCATTGATGCCGAGAAGCTACCATAATAAAATTTAAAATTGATAAAATCAGCATGAACATATTGTTGTTGATAATTATGTTGGCTTTCACTGAGAAAAATGGAAAAATGCAAAAAACTGGTGCTAAGCGAAAGACTAAAACCATGCTAAAATGCCTTCATAGTAAATGAAATGCAAAACTCCCACGATCAGTATATCTTTCTCCTTTCCTAAAATATTAAACCATTTGTGAACTGGACAATTATTATTTGCATTGCTCTTGTAGTTGTATTGGTTCTTTATACAGAAACTTGTCCACTCGAGTTTAGATCTTCGATTCCCATGAATGCTTGCATTTATGGATAATTATTATTTTCATATACGATACTCACTCTGACCTATAATATAGTGTATTCTAGCATTTAAAATTTATCTTCAAATATAATGCATTCTAGAGGATAAAATCAATTTTACATTAAATATTTTCTATTTATCAACCAATTATCATTAATCACGTTGATGATAGCGTCCAATTAGGAAATAAAATAAGGGTACATGCGTCTTTTATGTTCTCTTTTCATTTATCTTAAAATTCCTATAATGCATTATATTACAGGACAGAGGGAGTATGCTTGTTATGTCTTTTATGTTCTCTCTTTAATTTATCTTAAAATTCCTATAATGCACTATATTACAGGACAGATGGAGTATGCTTGTTAATAGCGAGAACTATGTGATGACTTCCTTAATCTCAATTGCCTAGTTTCTCAATATATGTATGAGAGAGCAAGTGTGTGCGCGGGGTGCGAGTATATGAGTAGTTGTTTTGTGTTTTATTTTAAAATAGATGGCTTCAACAAATTCTGCGTATAGGATGTTAAATACTCCCCCTATTCCAAATTATAAAATATTTTAGCTATAGATTTTGCTATACACTTAGATATATACTGTATCTAGATACATAGTAATATTAATGTATATATATAAAAAACTAAAATGCCTTATAATTCAGAACAAATGAGTATATTTTTGCATTTCGTTATACTACGACTTTTAAATTGTGAGTACATGTGCATATATGACAAAAAAGTGATGTGAGCCTAAATCATACTGTGTGCCGCATGGAATGAATTATACAGGAAACATGAGAGAGAGAGAGAGAGAGAGAGTAGAAAATTGATGATACAAGCACCGAAGCACTCATGGAAACTTGAAATCATAGCAAACCAGCCACAAAGCTGATGAGTAAGGTCTTGTTTGACATGGCTTCTCTGGCTGCTTCAAGAAATCAAGAGCAGTTTTATAACATCCTAGAAATTTGAATAGTTTAAAAATCACTAAAAATTTGAAGTTTTTTAAAACCTTGCATAGAAACCCACTTATATAGTTGGTTGACCTAAGTAGTAGTATAAATAAATCAACATGGGAAAAAAATATTATGAAACCTTGTGTGCTTGAGTGTTTGATTGCTTGTTGAACATATGGTAGTACCTTTATTTTCAAAAGTTGCATTTAAATTTGAATTCAAACCATTTCAAATAGCTAAATAGGAAATAAGGAAAATAGAAAGAGGAAGGGAAATAGAAAAAGTGCCACTGGGCCTCTTCTCCCTCACCCTCTCCTTTCGGCTTGTAGCGCAGCCCATCCCCTTCCCCTTCTCCCCTTCCCGCGTGGGCTGGCCTGTGGCCCAGCACCGCAGCGGCAGTAGCCCGCTTTCCCTTCTCCCTCTCCTTCTCGCCGCCAGGTGGGACCCAACCATCAGCTTCTTCTTCCTCCCACGGAGCCCGCGCCTGCGCCGCCGTACTGGCCCTGCCATGGCCCATCCAGGGCCAGGGAAGACGAGCGCACAGTCACAGGGTGGACAACGCCACGAGCCGTCCCATTTCCCCCTCTCCCCCTTTCCTTCTCTCTCAACGCTCATAGCGCATCAACGCCGGCAACACAGCCAGCAAGGGAAGCCCCACCGACGTGACCAAGCATGGCGCCGACCTCGCTAGAGTATGAACGGACATGGAGGCATCCAGCTCACCATTACCGAGCTCGAGCATGTGCGCGAGGTGGAAAATATCCACCGGTGGGCGAGGAAATATCTCGCCGCCGCCGCCAACCTTGCCTGCCTATAAAAGGGCCTGGCCAGTGAGTCTCTACCTCAACCATCACCGCTCCGAGCTCCGCCATGAGCCAGAACACACCATCTCCCCCTCTGTTTTCCCTTTCTCCCTCTTGGTAGAGCGCTAGGTCCGTTTCCCCCGACCTGGTTTCCGCTGATGCCATTGGAGCCCCTCTCTTCTTCTAATCCTCTCGCTGCGTCCTTGGCCAATTAGAGCAGCAGGTGAGTTTCTCTAGAGCCTCCTCCACCTAATGGTGTAGTTATTTTCCCTTCCCCGCCTCTGTGTTGCGCTGTCCGCGAGCGTCGAGCGTCACCCAACCGCCATGGCCACCGGCTAGCCATCGGAGAGGCTCGGCTGGCCCTCGCGTCACCTCCACTACACTTCCCACACCCCCGCGCACACTCACATGTAGTTGGTTAGGTAGTTTAGGATCGATAGGAGCCCCTTCACCACTCGTCGCCAACGCACCAGCTCCGACAAGCCATCACCGCCGCCATGGGCGCTCGCTGTCGCCGTTGACCCCACCACCGGCCGTGGCAAGCCACTCCGAGCGCCGTCCACCCCTTAGGCACCTTCCCCAGGGCCCGACGCCGCCGGCGTAGCCCAGTCCGGTGAGCCCAAGCCCTTCCCCTGTTTTGGCCTGACGCCGACGGCCTCCATCCGGCCACCGTCTCCCTCCTCCCCTCCATTCTCTCTGTTGGGTGGGACTAGGGCGAAACGACGTCGCCGTTACCGCCCGTCCACATCTGTCATCGTCCCCCTTCCCTTCTTCTCTATGCCACGTGGGCCATGGCCCGAACGCCACCAACGCCGTCTTGTGCTGACATGGCAATGTGGCCCACCTGTCATATACACACATGCACACACACCACACACAGTGTTGGGTACGCAATGGAAAATTGCTAGGTGCACCCAGTTAGTGCACACAGAGTGTTAAAAACCTATTTTCCTGATTAAGAAAAATTCCCAGAAAATTTGTAAATAAACTAGATGCATTAGGAAATTTAATCATGTAGTTTGCACATATTTTCTTGCACCAGAAAATACATATAAAATTCCACCTAGTTAAATAACTATAGGATAAACTTCTAAAATAGATAACTTTTAAACCCTAACTCCTTTTTACATGGAACCACCTCTAAAATTCATCTAAAATCCAACCCCATCATTTGCACCTAGTACCACCATATTGTTCTATGTTTTCCTTTGCTTTTACTTTGTGTCTTAGCGGTAGTCTTATACGATCACTACGCTCGGCAGACGACAGTTATCGTTAGGAGAACAAAGACCAGAATTTTGTGGACGTGCCGAAAGGTGACAACGATGAAGGCAAGTCCTAGCTCCCCTCCCTACCACCTTGCTTTAAACCACTAAAATGCTAAAACCTGACTATGAGATTATCACCCTAGAATATGAACTCGGTCATGGCGATATGATGATTATTGAATTAAGATAAATAGTTATCTTGTTATTTTATGAGCTCCACACCATGAATAGAATTAGG